CTAGATGTTAAAGTTTCATTTACTTGGTTCCCTTTGTAAAAACAACACTACAACTTACATGCATCAACATCCGATTTGTTGCAAGTTGAAACCAGTTTTATTGCCCGATATATTTTACTCTGCCAACAAGTCTTAATAACTAAGGGGCTATTTACATGAGCCCGACTAGTCCTCACTTGAGTCAAAGGGGATGCCTGGATAACCGGGCTGAAATTTCTCCATGTAAAGTCACCAGCTCAGGTAACCTCCTGGATAGCCAGGCCTTCAGCCTGGTTAACCGGGCCAGCCTGCATGGCTAGCCGGGCTCATGTAAACAGCCCCTAAGCCGGGTGATAGCAACAATAATATACTTGGTGCTAAATGTAACATAAACTTGAGTAACAGAAAATTCTCATATTCAGATTATTTCCCCCTCATTGTAGAGTAAACTGTTAATACACGTATGTATCTTAAAAACTACAGTGTATATTAGAATCTCACAGATTTATAATTCAAACTGTCGTTAAGATAAGTCAGGTCTTTTATTGTCTGTTTTGTAAATGAAGTTCCCTGATTCATCCAAGCATTGATCTTTAAACTATGTTTCCAATATCAATGAACAGTCATGATAATGTCATAGGAGGCCTTGTCACTTGTGATACCAAATAAAGTCACAGCCAAAGGATTTCAATAGGTTCACGTCAATATATTATCCCTAAAATTCATTTTTGAAGAAGAAATAGGTCCAGCAATTTCTTTCATATCGCAATATTATTTTATATTAAACGATTGTAGGCCAATATGCCAAGTTGAATTACACTGTATTGAATAGTTGATCACAGATTCACAGAAGGTTCGATGAACTCGATTTATTTCCTTCATTGTTCTTGGCATTCACGTCCTTAATCCTTTTGTACACCATAAAATATCACCAACCTATCACTCAAAACATATTTTACGGCGATCGGACTAACCACACATAAGCTATATAACTTTATATGTTTATCACTATTCGCCAAAGACCGAGGTGAAATTAATCGATGTATGACAATGGCCAAATTCCACGCTTAAATTCGTTTCTCATCCTCATAGTGACAATTAAATCAAAGAACAACCTCTTCTTTATCATATTTCAAAGTATCATGAGTTTTGCTTGGATACATAAAAAGCTAGAGCACTTTTAGTGGCTCTATTTCGTATTCCGCCATATTAACTCCTATAAAATTTCCTCTGGTTTGGTTGCTTTCAACATGGCGGCCACGCCGGAAGTCGGCTGACATTCTGGCACACTTTTTACCCTTGAGTGAACCTTCTGCCCTATATCTATTCTTTGCCTATGAAGCTACGGCGCATCGAACGCAGCTTTCGGAAGTGATCGGATTGTCATCGTAAACTTCCTGCGTATATAAATTTGTACACAACGTCATTCGAATTCTGTGACGTCAGAAAATGCGATCCGAATGATCGAACGAGCGACAAACAAATCTCAAATGCTTTGGCTAAAATACATAAGTCGCGCGGGGATCTGGCACGAGTAAAAACTGCAAACGTCAAGAATAGGTGGCTGCCATCGCTTCGCTCGGCAGCAATAAGAATACTAAATAGGAAGAACAAATATATAATGCCACATGTGTTTTAGCACATATAAAAATGGTGGATTTTGGACTTCGTGAGAAAGGCTAATTTAATAGTGCAAGTCACTTCGCGTTAATGTAACAAAGGGTCCCACTGTTGAAAGGTTGAATCACTAAGCTTTAGAATTTCCAAATGTATATATCTTTTATGTCTGTATTATTGCCGTTCTAACACTAAGTTCTTTTGAAAATCAATACTAGACAATTTGAATGTTAGAAAGGGAAAAAGTGGTGACCGTAAATACTGTGACGTTAAAGGACAATGGCAACGAAAATATTTAATGGCTATCTTAATCGTACTTGACGACCTAACTATGAAAATATTATCATTTTCTTCTCAAACATTTTAGTCCACGAGTAAAATGCATGCAAACTTTGTGTTTCGCCGCCATCTTGGAAAAAGATTTTGAAGAATTATCTCGAAGATCAATGAACTTTGTGACGTCATCGGATGGGTAGCACCCAAAACTACATGAGAGCGTGTTATTTTAGAGAGCGTGTTATTCTATTGCGTGCGTGCTATTTTAGTTAACAATATGTCGTTTTGAGCGTTATACTGGCCAACACTCTTCGCAATCAAACAAGAGAAGTCTATACTATCAGATAAAAACATATCGAGCGACTGGGAAAGCAAGGAATGGCGCAATTTACAATACAGGTAATTGATCATAAAATATTGCATAATAGTATTTGCCTTGTTACACTCGAATTTCTGCGTTTATTTAACACGGAGTAGTATATACAGTATACTATGAGAAACAGTGTTACAAACAAGTTACATACTTGGTAAAACTTTTCTGCCTTTTGTTTTGGCTCAAACTGCGCTACGCGTGGTAATACTCGCTATCGTTTATAGTCATGAAATTGTGTTTACCCAGCCAATTACGTCAGATAATGTATTTTGTGGCATAAATTAGCATACGCGCTTATTTTCAAAATGGCGGACAACTGTTGAACTTTTTATCAAATTTTCTCAACAACTAAACGCGACAAACCGGCCAAAATATGAATTTAAATACTCCGTAAGTATACCTAATAGATATTAATTGTTGCATATTTACTATAGCCTTAACCTGAAGTTCAGGCCCTAGTTTGAAATAGGGCTTGACACAAAACCTGTCTAGATCGTCGGACGCCCACATGTTATTTTTAGACACACATGCAATATGATTGACAAGTGTTGTAGATTTCGTTACACAAAAAATTTATATTCTCATGAACATGTCCGCAGAGCATTGTGCTTTTTAATTAAACTTAAAAATTCAATTTATATAATTAAGAGTCAGTTTCTCTATTTAACCGAACAGGCGAACAGCAAACAAAGATTTAATTAGTCAGTTCTGTGCACGGCTTGACTGCCAAGCTTTCTCAAGGTCTCAACTTGCTGGACGTGGATATACTCTAACGACTAACGGGCTAATAACAGCAACAATAAAATTCTCAATCATACCACGAAGAAGGCGATGTAGCTCAGAAAACAACGCCGGTAGGTCCTGATATTAAAAATAAGACTTGCCGGCGAAGCCAGTTGGCAGAACATCTTGGCTGTCAACAACAAGCTTTCGAATACATGACTAGTTTGGCTGTTCTTTCAGCGTCGTGTGTGTCCAAAATTCGTCAAAGATTTTGATGAAGCCCTTTCGTACGTGCGTTTGACCTTTATATTAATTCTCGCCTTGACCGAGCTATTTTTAAAACTGTTGTTTATGTGAACTTGCAACCAATCAAAATCCTTCATGATGCTGATCAACCAATCAGATTTCCCGTCCAGGAATCCCACAGTTTAGATAGGTTTTGTGTCAGGCCCTATTCTGTGATAGGGCCTGAACTTCAAGTTACTATAGCCTGCGCTACATGCTTTCAATAAACTTTTTACAATAGATGGATAGCGACTCAACTGCCTGGAAATACAAGCAAAACGTCAGCATTTCGAACGAAGGCCCTTCGACTTTGTCTGGAAATTAGTAGTGGACGAAGACCGTTTAAAATTATATTATGTTTTGCACCTGTATGGCTGTACTACAGTTATAAATATTGCAGTATTAAATATAATGACTTAGGAAAAGTTTAAATAGACCCCTTCCCATGTTATACACGTTGACAGACAAATGTATTTTAAAAGCTTCAAAGAGAGCTTCGTATTATTATGGTGTATTAAACACAATGGGGAATGTATTATTTTATATAATTGTAATTTGCCAGCCAGCAAAATATAAACAAGGCAAGGACAGCCAAGGTTTTATACTCTACACTATAGTATAGTGACCATACGGTAAAATCATACGACATATGCAGTAATAGCAGTATGGCTTGCCTTATTCTGTTTAGATGCCGGTATATGTTATACATTTTACACTTTGTCTTTTGAATTTTATATTTTAGCCGACAGGTTTACAACTTTAATATAGCGATGCCGTTTGTTTTTACTGTATTTATTTTTAAATATTTGAATAAATTAGCGTAACATATCAATCAAACTGTCGTCAACGTAATTTCAGCCAATCACAATTCTCGGCGGCTGGCTGCCGAGAGTCATCAATTTGACTAGGGCTTTCGGGCAGAATTAAATATCAAGCATTGTATTATATTTTTATCAATGCAAATTGCCTAGTTTTCTAGGCGAGAGAAGGTGGAGAAAAGTGGGAACGTCCTAGTTTTTTGTGAGCAGGGTTCTGAAAACGTCCTAGAATTACCTTATTGGGGAAAAAACTAGGCCGTTCTCATCAAAAACTAGCTAGGACGTTTCCAGACTCCAAAATATCAATTGCGCCTACTGACGTTGTTTTAATCTGAATCTAGAACATTCCTAAAACAGGGATATTATTAATATAATACGGAAACAGCTCTACATACGGTATTAAAATAGCAGAATATTATATATATATATATATATATATATATATATATATATATATATATATATATATATATATATATATATATATATATATATATATACAGTATATATATAGTTTTTCGTACAGGTAAAACGAAAAACTATATTACGCTCTATCTATATGGTATTGAGCACTGCTTGTGTTTCGTAAACCAAAACCTTAAGCTACAGTATATATATATATATATATATATATATATATATATATATATATATATACATATATATATATATATATATATATATATATATATATATATATATATATATATATATATATATATATATATATACATAAATTACACATCGTGCAACAATCGAATGGAGTCTAACAAGAATTTTCAATTGCCTCTATTCCTTTACCAATTAACCTTGCTTAATTTAAAATTCGTGTTCCCAATTGTGTAATATATACAAATTGTGATCATAAAATGATCAAAGACTAATGAAAACTTTTCCATGCAGTACCGAAGTCTCCTGAAAAGTGGTGCTTACCAATTTTGGTATGGTGGAAGCATTTTCGTAAAAATACGGAGTGTGCTATAATCGTCTGGATTACAGAACATTGCCCAAAAGAACATCTTTGTCCATCCAATACCATGAGCAATTTTACCGCACCGTTGTACAGTGTGGTAAAGAGGGCAATGTTTCCAATCTAGATCACCATGAACTGTCATGCTGCGATCGTAAACAACAAGTAGTGAACTGCCTAAATTCGACTGTCTTACTAAATCTCCTGCCTGGACCTTCACTATAAATCTTTTTCCGTATTTGGGTGGGTTGGCGTATTCTGGTCCCTTGGGATTAAGACCTGGCGCTTGCTCGTTGAAAGCCATGATTATACCACCTTTGGATGGCCTGCCTAAATAGCTTTCCTTTCGAACAACATTTACGACGACACTAGATTCCTGCAGCAAAGAAGAGCATACGCCTTTGTGTTTTTTCCAGTCACTTTTTTGACAATTCTTTCTGCAATATCCAACAGAATAACATCCTGTGCAATTCTGTAACGGTTTCTTTTCGCCACAAAATGCACAGAAATCCAGCGGTTCCGCTTCGTTTTCGGAATGCGCATGATCGATTTTATTATTGTTTCTTTCTTTGTTTCCTTTGAACTTCGCTTTCCTCATTTGTTTGCGATGTTTGTAAAAATATATGTGTTCTCTAAGTGTCTTCTCTCTTGGTATATTCGATTGATCTCTAAACACCATTTCGTCGTAAATGCCCGGTCCACAATTGTCAAAGATCTCATTATTTTCGACAACAGAATGACAGTCCTCAGGCACCGGACCTATTGGCACAACCTGTATTCCGCCATACTTATTGCCATATACTTTGTTATTAATAACGTTGCACCTGGCGTTATCCATGGTGGCAATACCTTGCCAGCAATTTTCAAAGATTTCGTTTCTTTCAATATGTGTAAATGACACGCCTTCAAGATTAATACCATGTCGATCATTTTGATAGATACGGTTACCAGTGAGAATTATATTCAAACTACAGAAGGTTACAACTCCTTGATAACGGTTATCGTATATATCACAATCAATGACACTACAACGCCCAGCACCTGGTCCCATGTGGATTCCCAACTTATTGCCATGAAGCTTGGTATTCTTCATTTCTAACTCGATATTCGAGAAGACTTGCACTCCACAGTTACCATTTGCTGAAAAGATACACTTTTCGACAAACGCTTTTCCCAGAACACGCAAAGCATCCCCTTTGCAGTTGTCGAAGTGGCAGTTAGTAAATGTTGTAGCTCCTGAAGAGAGAAAAGCTTGTTGTCCTTGATCTGTATTATTTGTGAAACTACAATTCACGAAGGTTGCATCCGTATCATCATGGGTCACCCAGCATCCCGTAGCAAAAACAAGAGAAATGTTCACTGCCATTATACAACTAGAAGAAAACACGCCTACACTTCCTTGAAAAGATAACCGAGGAATCCGTTTCGTTCCACTGTCCTCCACACCAATTACAATGGTATCACAAATAATCATTTGTCTCTCGAGTGTATAATCACCTGGTTCAAGAATAACGATTTTGCGGGGTAATTCAGATTCTTTCTGAGAACGGAAATTGCAATGCAGAATGGAAGGAACAAGTGAAGAGGTACTTGAATCACAAATATATATGCGATCCTTTAATGAATGAAACAAATGCTTAAATGGCGCAAAGCTGCTGAAGATATTTTTGTTGTAATAATATGCTAACGCTGCAGCACAAGTTGCATCCCAACACCTTTTCAGCCCATACAATGCCTGTGCTTTTTTGGCATAGCCTTTGCAGCACTTAGGGCGATGAGAAATGTAATCTTCAGCATCTCTTAAACCATCGCCAAAATTGTGCAACCTAATGAAAGCTGAAGCTCTGTTACTAAGAAAAGTAGGATCAAAGGAACTTGTACCTTTGGTCATGTTTATCACAGAAGTGTATACTTCAACTGCTTTTTCAAAGTGACCCTCCTGGAAATAAGTATTCCCTTCTACACGCTTTTCGTTACACGCGTTCTCTTGTTCTTTCAAGTCTGTAAATGGCATGATATCTTCCTCCTCTACAACGGAAGAAAGCCTTTTAGTGTCACGAGGAGCAACACAAGAATACGAAATAACTCTCCGAACCAACTCCGGCAAAGGTATTTCGTGTGGAAACAAAGTTGCCAAATCGTCCTTTGTTAAAAGGGTGTCCCCCAAGCGAATGATTTTGTAAGCAAAATCAACAGCTGCTTTGGCTTCAGCTGTCTTGCTGTCAACATTAAGATGAAGAGCGCATTCATAAACCAACCTGGCTGTTTCTGGGATGACGATTCTTTGGTCTAAAAGCTGAGATGTTTTTAAGAAATCTAAAAGAAGCTTCCGTACTTCATGAGCATGTAAGCACAACTTATGCCACTTGTGGAAAAGAGATGGATCAGTTGTCTGAAGAGAGGCTCGGTCATGATGCTTATTGATCATGCTGGTTAAAAGATCATCTGGGGAACGCGAGAATGAAAAAGCGTAGCTTAGAAGGCGAATTGCATCAACTAAAGACGAAACATATTCTTCTGGAGAAATGTTACCTCGAATAACCTCTTGAACCAGGCGATGAACAGTAAGAGAAGAACGCTTATTTTTCTTGAATAAGGAAAAATCAGTAAGCAACTTCAATATGTGTGATGAGCCTATCGGAGTATCTACGTACTCTTGGTAGGCATCGTCTTCAATCGGAGGTTTTCCAGGATTAATAAGGTCTTGCTGGATTTCAGCAGGATTGAAAAAGGCACATGCGTGTAAAAATCTAACAGCAAAGTTGCCATTCTTACTTTGCTTAATATACTCAAAGTTGAGTAGCCATGTTGTGTGCACTGCCAATCGTTCTCGAGATTCATACATGGAAGCAGAACTTGCATCTTGTTCATCTAACAATTCGAGAGAGTACTTTTCGTATTGTTGTAAGTACTCGGACATACTGCAGGAAAGGTGGCTGATGTACGCGCATGCTTGTTCTAAGGCAAGCGGTAGTCCGCCAAGAGTTTCAACCAGGTCTGCAGCTTTAGCAGACGTTTCCTCGTCGCAAAAAATCCCAGTTCTTCTAAACACGAAAAGTTTTCCATCTTCTAAATTAAAACACTCGAGCTGAAGACACTGGGACTCTTTGAGACCACGAACGGTTTCACGCATTACTTTCGGCTCTCGTCTTGTAGTTATCAAGATATGACCAGATCCTTTTACTCTGCGCTTCCACGGACCAGACAACAACATTTCAATATTGGAGCAAAGCTTGAATTCATCCATATCGTCAACGACAAGTAGCCAAGGTTTTTGAATTTTAGAAATTACTTCCAAAGTTTCAACTAGAATTCTACCAGGAGATGGTTCCAATGATGTTCCAAGATACACCGCATGGTCATCTACCGAGTTAGCAAACCTTGTTTCATCCTCGCCAGAGAACCAGAATACGCCTCCTTCATAATAATCTTTCCATCGATGTGCATATTCCGCAGCAAGGCTCGTCTTACCACTTCCTCCTAACCCGCACACGGATGCAATTTGAACTTTTGGTTCATTGATATCATCATTGATCTGAAGTAATGTGTGAAGATTTTCTAGTTCAGAATCTCGACCAGAGAACCACTTTGTTCTGTCAGGCAACATAAAAAGATAAGGTATTTTCTCGTGTGCTATCGAAAGTTTTGCCACTTCGTTTTGTAAAGCTTGCAATTGTTGGGACGTTGTTTGGTAATTAACTTTTAGATCTTCAATATCTTTTCCCATGGCAGAGTGATTATCCAGGACATTTTGTATTTCTTTGGCGAAAAACTGTTGAACAGACTGCAACTTCTCCATCAATTGCACCTAGACGGAATAAAAGCAATAAGAATGTGTGTTGGAATTAAAAATTATATACTGTATTATAATATAAAGTTTTCAAAATGTTTGCATGACGTTAAAATTGGAAGAAAAAAAACGATATAAAATATTCTCGCAATAAGAGCATCTTAATTCCCTCTTACGATTTGAGGAATATACGATAACAAGAATAGGCGAATATACAGTTTAATTATATGGCAAGCATTTGTTTTGATGAATCGCTCAATTTGATTGGTTGCTGACGAGGTAGGATTTCCTTGCGTATTGCCCACGGCAATAGGCACTTTTTATTGCCCTACGAAGCTGCGAGCCTGCGACTACAGCCGAGTTTCAAACGGCAACACGTGTCTAAAAATCTTTCAAGCTATTCAAAACGAAGGAAAATAGACCTAAAATAGGTCAAAGGAGCAACTGCTGTGGTTAAAGAACGTTCTCAATACATTTTTGTTAGCGAAAGTCAAAATTACAAGGAAAATTTTACAATGTTTATTATTAGCATGACAAAATTACTGGATGCTGATTGGTTGAGAGGAGTACAATTATTTCATTAATTGTACTGCAGTACAATTAATGATTTTCCCAAACAAACAAAATGGCGGAAACGTATTTTAAACACAAATGTGAAATGAAGTTGCCCTAGAGGAACTAGATGAAAATACGAACAAAAGCACCAAATTTTGGTTGAAAGTATGGCAGGACTGGGCTTTGGCAGGGCGTTTATAAGATAGGGCGGCGAAACGCCAGTAATTCGCGTGAAACATGTGTGATGCAAATTAGGACTGGGGCTAGCGGGGAAGGTGCGAAATTTAAATCAAAACAAAATATTGATGCGAAACTCGAAAACACTTTTTAAATCTCTTATTTTGCCGAAATTATGCAGTCTATCGTTGCCATATTTTGCCATCTGGTTATTTACGTTTTTTACAATTGACAAGGCATGGTTCAAGACAATCGTAAAAACAAAACAACGAAAATTTTGTACATGAAAGCCGAACATCATAATGGATTCCCTTACGCGTTTTTTAGGATGCGTAAATAAATTACTTTATTTTATATCTCAAAAATAAGCCAGAACTTAGCTTTTTTAAATGCATGTTAGCAAGGTACAAATCTTTATTACTCTTAAATTTCATGGCGTAATTTTTTGAACTTTTTGGCAATAGCTTGCTGAATACAGCATAAAAAATTGATTACAGTTTAAAAATTTCCCAGGTTTGTATAGTTTTAAAATTTACGAATATGAAAGAAATTTAAACGTTTTTTGGCCACTCTTATTCTTAAATCGACAAAGGAATACTTGTTCTTCTTACCAGCATGTTCATCCTTGACTAGAAGCCAACATATAACGAGTAAATGAGAATTATTTTCAAACAAGTGTTGGGGTTCATCGTCACTGCGAATTTCGCTTTTTCAACCGGCCTTCGATTTGTAAAATATTAATATCTTGTACAGTCACCAGAACTTAGCAAATCCAAGGACGACTAGTCCATTATCAGATCTTTCTTTGGTAAAAATATTGTCACTTAATTTTTTGAACTTTTTTTGCAATATGGGAACAAACATGACACAACGGAAAAATATTCGGCAGACATTTCGAATTATGCCGCATTGTCGCGCGAACCGGAAGATTGTGAGGCATGAGGCAAGTCAAGACGGACACAGACACAAAATTAAATACCGACGGCGACGATGAAAATGCGAAAATTATTTATTTATTGCGAAATAAATTTAAAAAGGTTAAACAAACACTTTGTATTTTAAATTAACTACACAACACAGATAATATAACTAAAAAGACACTGAGAAAAACAAGCCAAAACGACTTTGATAATTGGTTCAATATCAAATATCTAAAAGTGCACATTTAAATAGACATAAAATTTGGTCTAGCAAGTTTTGTATATATCTACTATACACAACTAGTTGGTAGTTTATATTATAATTGTCTACTCTTACAACTATGTCAAATAATTTGAAAAGAACGGCTTCACCAGTGAGAGGTTACAATGATACACCCAGGGCCGGGGTTAACCTCCAACGTTTTTAGAATCAACATATTCAGAGAATCAGGCTGGCCATTCGGAAAATTACGGCAATAATACTAGTAGAACAAAATTTTAGTTGTTAAACAGAGAAAATATTATAAAATTGTATTGTCAGTATAAACTGATTTATGAAATTATGGCATTTACAGGATAACATTTAACAAATCATAAATGTTTTTCAGTTTATTACTTCTCAGGGCCGTAGCAACCGGGGGGGAGCGACTGCAGCCCTGCCAATAATTTGGTAATCATTCTTTTTTTCTAAATCATGCAGACCTTTATCATTTAAATACTAACAATTGATTAATTTTAAGCGGCTACATTATCCATGACAAACTGAAAAAATCGTATTACCCATACTTTCCTGCAACTTCTCTAATATACAGTATAGTTAATTAAATACGTCTTCAGCCATTTGGTACTACTAAATTGTAAGCAAATTGTAAATTTCAACATACTAAAACGCTTTTTTCTGACCATCAGAATTCTGTCAAAACTTTTCCAAAGTCCAGGAAATGGCATTTCAGAGACTTTAAATTTAAACTCTTTCAGAGACTCTAAATTTAGACTCTTTCCTCGGGCCTCCAGCCCTCGTTTTCACCCCCCCCCCCCCTAATCAAAGAGAACTTCCTACGGCAATGCTTCTGTAATATGTCTGTAATATGTCTGTGCGCCTAGTATGTCTTGCGCGTATGTCTTGGCCTACACCCTCTCCCCCAACTATACATGCTAGCTACGGCCCTGGGTACACCCAAGAGAAGAATTTAGCACACCACCTCGGCCACAAAGAAATGCTCTGGACACAACTGTTAATAATTCAACTCCATCTTGTTCTACACCTGCTACCTTAAGTGACACATGCACACAAAACAATCGATTTACAGCACCATTTCCCCCTTCAGTGTCAGATAACTCTAAAGATAATCTCATTCCATCCACCCCCTGTACAGTTTGTTAACAACTCTCCATTGCGTGAAGAGGAGCTACTATACAATTACTTTATAGTTTCTGTGTTTGGATGGCCTGATCCAAACACATGTTTCGACCAATCAGAGCACACATTATATACATGTTATTTTATAATACTCTATTCTATGATGACCCTTGTGTTTCCAGTGGAACACTTCACCAAACATTATGCACCTGGTAAATATGATGCAATAATTGACATAATTTACCAAATTATTGGTGTGAAATACAGTAGTCACAGTATTCAAAACTATTTCCATCGAGTTTACACAAACAAAGTGAAGGGTTCTGGAAAAACAGAAGGTACATGCAGATGGGTCTTCTACCAGAATAATGTGAGATGTTTCCTAGAACAATCCAATCACCTACTCACTCCAGTCTTACAAGGGGATCAACTTGATGAGACAACAATGAATTCATTGCTACATCAATTGAAGTCTCACTGCATGCAACAGGGCCTCTAGATATTAAACAAAGCAGAATGCTGCCTAAACAAAGAATATGGCATATTAAACTATGTTAACCAAATGTCTGAAAAGGCCATTATGCTCAAATTAAATAGTAAGTGGTCCAAGCAGTTTAACAGTGATAAAAACACCCTTCATTTCACCACAACAGAGGTCTCAAAACTATGGGCATCTCCTGCACACTTTGTCATTTCTCAGAGTGGCAAACTTTTTCTCCAACCTAATAGCCCGTACGCTGTCGCTTTTAAACTTCTTCACCTAACCATTGCACTGATTAAAAGCCTCGACAAATACAGACACAAAGCAATCCAAGGTGGCAAAATCTTTTTTCCCGCGCGTGTTTCGCAATATATTTGTTGTGGCTATTTCAGCTTCGGATTTTATCGTGCTAGAAGAAATCCTCTCGAGAACTGCGATCACTTCATTGATAGTGAAAGCATCAGTCGACTGTCGAATAACAGGGGATGTTTTATCATCCTTTTCGGCATCGGTGTCGTCTAAACTAAGAATTAAATCAAAATCTTCCTCTTCCATTTCAGCTTGAGCTTCCGCCATTTTTACTCGCACGTGTTCGAATATTTGGGGGGTCCCTTGCATCACAGACATATCAGGGCTCCTATGCTCGTTTCGCCGCATCTGAGGTGCAATGTATCTAAAGAATTTGAATTGGTGATTCAGTGGGTGGAATTTTAGCCGTTGTAAAATGTAGCTACAGATCTAGGAAATGACTTTGCAAAATCATGCGACAAACGAGTCTTTCTTAATAGTCGTGACCATAGTATTAAGCAGACGTACTACATGAGTGCAGCGCCGTGGAGAATGCGCAAAACAGGTGAAGCACAAGGGCTACAATATACTGTACCAATACTATTTTTGAATATTAAATACTATTAGGCCGTATTCTGTGGCACGATATCGTTCAGTTCCGTTGCCCGGGTTCGGGCACTACTTTGAAACAAGATAAATAATTAGGATAAATTATACAAAGTTCAAATCCGCTTGTTTGCACTTCCCAAAACCTGCAGTTTTCGAGTATTTCTTCTTCGAAAATTGAAGAAATCGACATCTTTCGCAATCGATCGCCGCCATTTTTGTTCAGGATACTTGGTGTAAAAAAACACTCTAAATGCCGATTTTCGCGGGCTCAGCTCATTCTTACATGAAGTTTCCAGCTTAGCATTTGTAAAAATGGCGTCTTCTGATTCATGTTTAATTCATTTTGATGGGAAAAAAGGCCCACTTACAAGTTTTAGTGCGGTTTCGTATCAAAATTTTTAGATTGTCGTAGGATTTGGCTAGCGCTAGACGGGGAAGAACGCAATGTTGCTCAAAGAAGTTTGCGGTTTGTTAGCGACAGCATGGAAGTAGCACGGTCGAAAATATCGATGCAAATTTCTCTTTATATCATCGAAGTTGTTACTGGGCATTCACAAATAGCAGTATGATCAACCGAGCTCAAGAGCGTTGTCAGAATATGGACAAAGGTGTACCTTCATCCTCTGGTCTCCATATTATTGATGAAGAAACGGAATCAGATGAATACGATTGCGGGCCTGTGCGGCAGCTAAATCATGGAATCCTCACTTGTTGGAATGCGTTTAGCGTTTGTATAATTTGCTAATCATAAAAGTCGTATGTCACTGAATCGATAAGTTTATTGATTTATTTTTTTTACAATTATTGTTATTTTTCTAAATGTGTTTTATAATTATATATTGATTGCATTGCCTTTAGCCGCTCCCGTTTAATATAACGGTTGTGTCAAAAAATAAACATTATTCCAGTAATATCTGATGCATGTGGTGGCCAGTTCTTGTACCAAGCTGATGTACAATTATGCAAGTTGTTTCTCAATGTTAGGCCAACTTATACATTTCTTTCAATGTTGCACTTGTGTATGTCGATGTTTTCATTACAATGTCAACATCAGAATCAGACTCTTGTGTGAACTCTGAGATGTTTCTATGTCATCATCCATAAAACTTTTTCTTGACTGAGGCACTCTGCATAAACAATTTCACTCTTGTTTCATAACTTTGGTCTATGGAAAACAAGTTGTGGAAACCTTTTACACATGTACTTTTCATAACATTGTTTATGGTATTCCACTTTCAATGCTAGGTCCTTATCAGCAATTTGAATCAAAATACTTTCATCAGCTTTCTTTGTTGCAGCTTCTTTCAGTTTACCACCTACTGTTTCCGCAGACACCATTAATGTGACCTTCCATGGGAAAACATACGTTAACGGTTTTGAAAAACGTTCTGAAAAATCGTTCGTTATCCGTTCGTTATCCGTTTAAACGCTTTGGCTTTCCGTTGAAACGATATTTGAGATCGTTCAGACTTCTCAATGGACCGTTCAAACGGCTGGACAAAAACGTTTGAAAAATGCTGCTAAACCGTTCGAACGATTGGCGCAAAACGTTCAAATACGTTCATGAAGCCGTTTAAATGCCTTACAGAAAGAACGTCTTTACAATGTAGCTAGCTTTGTATAGGCATTTAAAAGTTTATCTGGAACCGGTTGTCTTGTAGGATTTACAAGGAACACCGTCTATTATAGTATTACGGACAGCAGTATAATATAAGTTCGCCACCCCTCACAATATTAAATATTCTTGCTATTTTATTAGAGCAGCCTCGTAACTGTTGCGGTGAAATACTGCAACAATAAAATTGAGCAAAAGGTTTCTCGAATGTTAAACTGAAGGTTCTTTAAATCCGCGAGCTTGCCGGTTCCGTCTTTTAATAGCGTCAGCTTAGTGTCAACTAATTCACTTAGGCTAAGTTTATTATTATTCTGGCCGAATAACTAAGAGTCGTTATGTTACAAATACAATTGTATCAAAACAAATATATAATATTGATCTTAATAATATACCTACATGCCTCACCAGTTTAGACAGCGAATTTAGCCTATATGTGCCGAATATGATATAACGATTGAAAGCGGCAGTAGATCGGCGCCTAATTGCCTAAATCAATTAACTCTTGCAAGGTTTGAATAACTACGTGCGACACGGCACAAATTTCGCTAAATCATGTCACATTGTCCAGGAAAGACTCGACATAAGTTTAAACGACGCGCTTTTCATGCACCGAAGTTAATGAATTTTAACATATGACATTTCCAGCATAGTGTCATGTATGTATTTCTGTACGAGTCCGACATTTGTAGAAATTCCAGTACTATAATTATAATATTAACAAATTCGGTAGTATAATGTGCACAGATGGACTTCATCAGGTCGTTTAAAACAGCAGAGTTCTATATATAGAGAAGAGTTTTATAAACTCTGCCCTATATATGCATGCATGCACCTTCCAAAACTAGCGTATGAGAAAATTAGGAAAATATATAGGAAGAGTTTATAATTACTTGATTAAATAATAACTAGGTATGCATATATAGTTGAGTAAAATGGAGTAGCATGTATGATATACTGTCAGATATAGTATCACATTGTAATGGTTTTATCCGAACGGCAACGACGCAAACTATACTCGAAGACCATGGCCGCGTGCGAGGCAGTCCGTTTCAATCCACGTTTACTGCGATGAAAAATATGCTGCTGTCACGTGACCAAATTTGCATTTTTTCGGACAACTTTCGCACTCCGCTATTCAGAGTGTATACACGTGCGCGATATAAACAAGCGAAAATATCGCAAAATAAGGATGATTTGAAAGTTTTTTTTTGTATTTGTGGGTATATTTTAACTCCTGTAAGTGTAATATAGCGAAGAGAAAAATGGTAATGAGAATAAGCGTGTTTCGGACATGACTGTTGCCGAACTAAAGCTAAGGAGTATTTGAAAATGCGTGGCGTTACTGCAAACGGCTATTTAAAACCTGCTTTACTTCAAATTGCTCAAGCAGTGGAGAAAATGATGTTGCCGATTGACCCAAATCATGAATATGGAAATTCGGATCTCAAGAACGCAAGAGAAACATTTATTATTCATGATAGGTGATACGTCAGCCATTGTCATATCCAGTTGTGAACGACTTTATACTAGATTCGCCACCCTTCGGTTTGTATATTTTTAACTGTTTAATATACAGCTAAGCTGAGTATGATAAACAGGGACTTGCCTCATATAAATCATTCGAAGATTATAGAGGCTGCAAGCACATCGCAGCCTGTTTGTATTCGCTGGAGGATGTACTGCATAATCGGTAATCGCGAGAGTGTAACATCTGGTCCATGCCAGGTCATTAGTAGAAAAGCGCAAATATATTGATTATAAAATATAACTTACTTTATTCCCATCAGCTGTAGCTGGTATCGGATCAGGATAATCCACTGTGGGTCCATTTTCGTCAATAAAATGAAAACCGCATATATAGCTGTCTTTCCGACAGACGAACTTGTCGCCTCGACAACATCCACTTCTTTCCTTAGATTTATTCTCACTTGGGAAACTGTAGAAAGATACTGAAGTCCCATTGTCCTTTTTTAAGCGTGCTGGTTACCTCGAATCGCTTTTGCATATTCCCCAAGCACATCTCTTTACCATAATTTGTGAATCACTTATAGTATAATCATGGATAGTATAATCGAGGCCGTCGAGCGAAATATATCCCTATATTTTCGTACCCACACAACGGGAAATTTTTCTCTTCGCTACATATTACACTTACAGGAGTTAAAATATACCCACAAATACAACAAAAACCCTTTCAAATCGTCCTTATTTTGCGATATTTTCGCTTGTTTATATCGCGCACGTGTATACACTTGAATAGCGGAGTGCGAAAGTTGTCCGAAAAAATGCAAATTTGGTCACGTGACAGCAACATATTTTTCATCGCAGTAAACGTGGATTAAATTTACACACAACACTATTCGCCGATTATTTTCTTATGCGATAGTTACTTGATTTCACAGCTGGTATTCTCCTGTCACCAACCGAACCCGATACTGTTTCAGTGTCAAAAAATATTACAGCCAGCTACTGGCTATTTATTAGCGTGATCTGATCCATGGGGAAAACGTCCAAGTTGATATTAACCCTGCATGGTCTCTGAAGCCTTTTAATTTAACTGCTTTATTTAACTATTTAAACGAAATGGCCGATTTTATAAAAGATCTGGGAATCAGCTACAACATAAATAATAATAAAGCACAGCTAGTCAATCATGCAATTTTTCCTGTTAATTAAACTATTAATTTATTTCCGAGTTTTAGAAGGTTCTCTTGTAGCGTGTGCTTACATATGTAGAATGGGATGTTTCAGGATAGAATATTATCACATTTTTGGCGTTTCAAACACTTTTATAATGGCATTGCTAATAGAAATTGTGTGCCTTCCGTCTATCGGGACCTATTGTGCTATAACATCTGATATAAGCAGGTGTTATAAGTACAACAACTGTCATAACTCTTTAATTATCGCGAGGAATCTCAAAGATATAAGGAATTATTCCGATAGGCGATACCGCGGTACCCTATTTTTCTTTTCAACTAGTCGCATCCAGCCCTGCTGTCGAGTGGACATTACTCGGTTATTAAACGTTAACATATCGATTTTTCCTTCAAATCAAATCAAT